CCCACCCACGATTACAGAACACCAAAACCCCAAAAAACTCAACGAAAACCATGTAGAAAAGCACAGGGAGAGCAATATGGAAAATGACGAGGCTGTATCTTTAAAACCAGCTGCCCTCAGGGATCTTCAACCAGCCCTTCATCAGGGTTACTGAGACGCGTGTCCCGGCCGCTGGACCCCAGGCGCATCGGAGGTGATCGCTTCCAGACTGAACGGACACCGGAAAGCCTTTGCCTTGGGAGAGGGTTTCACACCAACCAACCATCTCCCACACTTTTTCTTAAGGAAGATTTTCCAATCTCATCCCCGAGCAGCTGGACAGTGAATTGTCAGTCACCCAACGTTCAGTCCACAGCGACAACCGCTTCCAGAAAAGGATTCCTACCCTTCCACAAGCACTCTTCCTCCATTAAATCCAGAGGGTGGGTCTGCGATTGGCTGCCAGTGGTCTGCGGAGCGACGAGCCTCTACCTGGATGTCAGAGCAGCTAACCATGCTGCGCTCATCTGACAGACCCCATTTCCTGCACAAAGGGCATCTGCACACTGGGTAATTCGCTTCCTGAAATGCCATAGGTATTCCAGGGAAAACAGGTACGTACATGATCAACCTTGGACGTGGCAGCGCGACTGAAAAACCTGCACGGCGCTGCAGACATTATCAATACCCCTCCACCATCGTGGCACCAGCCGAGGCTCCCGCTTGCACGGAGGTTACGGGGAAACACAGGAGGCATTTTTAGGTATCCTCCACTTTTCCAAAATCCCATCTTTCTGTCACCTAGCAACAGGAACAGAGGCTCTCAGTCACCTCTCCACAGCCATGAACAGAATCAATGGCCAACAGGATCAACAGCCCAGCCGCAGGTTAAGTCACCGTTCTCTGGCACGTCTCACTCTCGGAACTGCCGTGCAGATCCTGCCGGCACGTTTCAGGGAAGAGACAGGATTCACACCGTCTCCTTCTAACCAAGTCTCTGCAAACATTTTGCAACCCTAAAAGTGTATTTTGTTTATCATTTGCTTTGGAAAGAAAGGGATCTTACGTTTCCCAGACTGTTCTCCCATAGCCAAAACTCCCACCTGGAGTACTGTGTCCAGCTCTAGAGCCCTCAACATCAGAAGGATATAGACTGGTTGGAGCGAGTCCAGAGGAGGCCACGAAGATGCTCAGAGGGCTGGAGCCCCGCTGCTATGGGGACAGGCTGAGAGAGTTCGGCTTGTTCAGCCTGGAGAAGAGAAGGCTCCGGGGAGCCCTTAAAGCCCCTGCCAGTACCTGAAGTGGCTACAAGGAAGCTGGGGGGGACTTTTGACAAGGGCCTGTAGTGACAGGACAAGGGGGAACGGGTTTAAATTGAAAGTGGGGAGGTTTAGATTGGATATCAGGAAGAAGTTCTTCCCAGAGAGGGTGGTGAGGCACTGGCACAGGTTGCCCAGAGAAGCTGTGGATGCCCCATCCCTGGAAGTGTCCAAGGCCAGGCTGGATGAGGCTTGGAGCAACCTGGTCTAGTGGAAGGTGTCCCTGCCCATGGCAGGGGGGTTGGAACTGGGTGGTCTTTAAGGTCCCTTCCAACCCAAACCGTTCCATGATTCTATGATTTCTGAAGTTAAAAGCAAGGCACAAGCAGCAAAGTTGGGTGAATTTATTGTTTTCTTTCCCCTCTGCTCACAGTACCTGCTGCGTCAGTAGCACAGCTCAAAGGTCAGGTGTTCGGGACCTTTATTTAGCTCAAAATGTTTCCTCCCTCCGAGTGGGTGTTGCAGCCAGCTCAGATGTCCCCTGACTGTCAAAACACACACGAGTGGCCCTGAACGGAGACAAAAACTTGCACCCAGTATGAGCTAAAGGTGCCTTTTTTAAGCTTAAAGGAAAATCCAAATATTTTGTTTCACACAGGAAAAAATGTAACCGCAAGAAATGGAAACACGTGATTTTTTCTATAGACCTGGAACAGAATGATACAGCAGAAAGTAGCTCGGGTCACACTGGAGCAGGAAAATCACACAGGAAAAAGTATTTATAAACACCTGGATTTTGCTGGGTGCACCCCCACATCCCTTTTTCAGCTGTACTTACCCAGCCCGAGGCGCTGGTAGCGTCGTTCCTGCTATCTCCTCGCTGATGTGCTCCTCCAGGACAATCCAGGCTGGCAAGCTGCGGGATGACCAGCTGGCTGCAGTTCCGCCCGTGGCGCTGCTCCCAGTCCCGCAGCTGCATT